GAACCCGCGGGCTCAGGCAATCCACTCACCTCGGCCTCCCAAAGTGCTGGGATTACAGGTTGAGCCACTGAGCCCGGTCAATTAACTGAATTTTTAAAAAATTTATTTTAAAGATGTGGGATACAATTTAGGTCTAGGTATACAAATATTCATTATGTAGGTGAAATAGCTAATGAAATATGTAAAATAGTTGCAATAGCTTGCTTGATATAAGTAACTCCATTTTGTTAAAATTCTCCATCTTAGTTGTCTGCCTGAACTAAAAATGATCCCTGCCCCCCATGTGTATGTGTGATTGTTGTAATGTTCCCATGACCACAAACCTTGTTTCCCTGAGATGCTCACGCTGACTGTTCTTGATGACCGTTTGAAAACTCCCTAATCACAAGTTCTGTGTAATTGTATGCCTTGTTAACTGAAATCCAAGAAATTGTTCCTTTTGTTTTTAGTTCCTTGTACCCTCACCCCCTACTATGTAACTCACTTGCAGATTTTGGCTTTATAAGCTTCTTGCTGATTCCACTCAGTGTCAAGAGCTTTCTTGGCATGAGCCTACTCTTGACCGTGCACTATTAAAAGACTCAAAATTAGAACCCCGTGTGCTGGCGATTCTCCCTTCTCACAGTTCAGCTATAACACAAGTACCTTGTTGATAGGTGTGCCCCCCCCTCCCCCAGCAGATTCCTACTACTGCCTCTTCCATTTTTTTTCCTTCCTCTTTTTTTCTTCTACTCAGACTGCATCCTCTCCCTCTTGCTTCCCCTGAAGCAAGAGCAATCATCAATGGCAAACGGCAGTTGCAGTGAAGCAACACCAAGAGACGGCTTCACACTCAGGAAAGGACACTGCGCCTCCTCCTCGTAGTTTCAAAAATATGGAATGCTTCATGAATTTGCGTGTCATTCTTGTGCAGGGGCCATGCTAATTGCTATATAGTTCCAATTTTAGTATATGTGCTGAAGAAGCAAGCACCTCTTCTATTTCTTTTTTTTTTTTTGAGTTGGAGTCTCACTCTGTCACCTAGACTGGAGTGCAGTGGCCACTCCCGACCACCGCAGCCTCGACCTGCTGGTCTCCAGCGATCCTTCTGCCTCAGCCTTCCAAGTAGCTGGAACTACACTACCATGGCCAGCTAATTTTTTGATTTATTGTAGAGATGAGGTCTCGCCAAGTTGCCCAGGCAGGTCTCGAACCCGCGGGCTCAGGCAATCCACTCACTTCAGCCTCCCAAGGCATGGGATTACAGGCTGAGCCACAGAGCCCGGCTCTTCTATTTCTTTAAAGGGCTTATGATACCTCAATAGGCAAGGGATGAGAGATCCAGAACTGAGGGGAAAGTGGGGTCAGCAGAGGCGCAGAAAGGAAAGGAATGAGAGGATCGGGAGCCTCAAACACTCCACTTAGGAGTGCGAATTGTAATGCTAGTTCACTTTTTTTTTTGAGTCGGGGTCTTACTCTGTGACCCAGGTTGGAGTGCAATGGTGCGATCACAGCTCACTGCAGCCTCAACCTCCTAGGCTCAGGTAGCCTCCCATCTCATTCTCCCGAGTAGCTGGGACTACAGGCATTCGCTACTACACCTGGAAAATTTTTTTTTTTTGAGTTGGAGTCTCACTCTGTCGCCCAGACTGGAGAGCAGTGGCCGCTTCCGGCCACCGCAGCCTCGACCTGCTGGGCTCCAGCGATCCTTCCGCCTCAGCCTTCCGAGTAGCCGGAATTACAGGCGTGCGCTACTATGCCCAGCTGATTTTTTTATTTATTGTAGAGATGAGGTCTTGCTGCCCAGGCGGGTCTTGAACCCGCGGGCTCAGGCAATCCACTCACCTCAGCCTCCCAAAGGCGCGGGATTACAGGCTGAGCCACCGAGCCCGGCTTCACCTGGATAATTTTAAAAATTTTTTTGTAGAGACAAAGTCTTGTTATGTTGCCCAGGGTAGTCTCAAACTCCTGGGCTCAAGCAATCCTCCCAACTCAGCCTCCCAAAGTGCTAGGATTATAGGTGTGAGCCACCACACCCGGCTAATCCACTCTTACTGATATTAGGTTAATGATGTGAGCCCTAGGTGCTAATAAAAACAATCAAGTCAAATCTGAGGGGTTCACAAACTTTTAACACAGAGGAAGATAGGGCTGAACAGCACAAACATACACAAAGGCAGAGTTTTACATCATCTTTCATTGCCAACACTAGAGAAAAAGCTGTGGGTTTGTTTGGTTTTCGCTCTCTGATGCCTCGAACAATTGCATAGGAAACTACTTATTAAAATGCTGAATTCCACAATCCCCTCCTTTATGTTCACAATGCACATCAGTACACTAAAGGTCCTAAGAAATCTCTTTAACTTTGTTTAGACCCACATTTCCAAAATTTGAGCACAAAGTACTTTTGAAATACCCCATAAACATCTCCTACAGTGTTCAGGCAGTACCAGTTTGAAAAACACTGCTTTATAAACTGTGTTCTGTGTTAGAGTCATTTATCCTTGGTCTATGTTACTCACCATTCACCAGGGACTCCTCAGGGTATACAAACAGCGAGGGTTTCAGGTGCTGGTGCTTCTTCAGCATCACCACAGGCTTGAAACCGATGAGAATCATACCTGGTTCATCAAATCGTTTTAGCTCTTCTGTTTCCTCTTTCTCTAGCACAATCTGACGACTCCCATAGGTCTAAAGGAGGGAAACAACAAGGGCCACATAGAGATGCAGAACAGCTGTCCCATGACACTAGGCAAGTTAAAATCAGCTGTCTTCTAAGGAGCAGGATTATGGCTCACCTCCTATAATAGGGAATTCACCTTTACTGAGTTACTTCCAGGTACTTTATACTTGCCTTCTGTAATAATCCCAAGAAACAGATGCTAAAAACTGCTTTACAAAGAAGCGAACTGAGGTTCAATGTTTGGGTAATTTGCTCCATGTTGTACAACTGAATTGGGCTTTATTTATTTTGTATTTTATTATTTTTATAGTTAAGTAAAAGCAGGGTCTCAGTATGAGAGGGACCCCAAAAAACCCCAGAATTACCTCTGGAGGCAGGCCCCTTATTACAGGCTTCCCCCAACTAGTTAAGTTCTAACTAGTTAGGTTCTAAGAACCTACCAGCATCAGTGTACCAGCTAGTGTTGTTGTGAGAGGCTGCATTCAGCTTCAGTGAATTTTTTTTGGAGATTCTGTCAACACATTTGTCTATTCATGACAGGAGATGTACGAGTGCACTTGTCACACCATACTGAGTGTTCATCAGTTTTTGACCAAAACAGCATGACTCCCGTGCTGCACACTCTCTATTCACCCAATCTCGCCCTGAGCAACTTTGCTTCCCTCAATGAAAAAAGTCCTCAAAAGGAAATGTTTTGCCCATGTGGAAGAAGAGATGAAACAAAAACAGCAGAAGCACCAAAAGGCATCAAAACTAACAAGTTCAAAACTGCTGAAGCTGGGCTCGGTGGCTCAGCCTGTAATCCCACGCTTTGGGAGGCTGAGGTGAGTGGACTGCCTGAGCCTGCTGGTTGGAGACCTGCCTGGGCAACTTGGTGAGACCTCATCTCTACAATAAATCAAAAAAAAATTAGCCGTGCATGGTAGTGCGCGCCTGTAGTTCCAGCTCCTTACAAGGCTGAGGCAGAAGGATCACTGGAGCCCAGCCGGTCGAGGCTGCGGTGGCCGGGAGCATGCCACTGCACTCCAGTCTGGGTGACAGAGTGAGACTCCAACTCAAAAAAAAAAAAGAAAAAGAAAAAAAAACTGTGTTGAGCAGTGGTAAAACCATCTTGATGGGTGTATTGTATCCAACAGAGAGTACTTTGAAGGTGACTGAAGTTTAAACATGTAAGATAAATACACAATTTTTTATAAATAAATTCTGGGTGTTTTGGGACCCCCTGTATGTTGCCCAAGTGGGTCTCTAACTCCTGGGCTCAAGCAGTTCTCCCATCTCAGCCTCCCAAAGTGCTGGGATTACAGATGTGAGGCACCATGCCTGGCCCGAATTGGACTTCATACCCAGATTTTTCTGGTGCCAAAGGCCACACTCTTCTGGTATTTACTCCTTCCCTTATTTAACATGTACTGAGCTCCCAGCACCATGCCTGAGACAAAAAGGGTGCTTAAACTATACCTATTTACTGAATGAGAAGACAGAAGTCAGGTATTATGCCAGGTCTCAGTTAGTGTGGGAGGAAAACACAAACACACTTATATAAGCATTACTTCCAAAGATTATTGCTTGCATTTAGGACCTGGATATGTGGTTTATGACAGAACTTAATAAAGAATCAAATGTGGGTTTTAAGAACAAAAAAAAGAACCCTTGTGGTTTTTTTCCAGACACAATGGATCAAGAAAGTAATTCAGTGCTGGGTACAGAGGCTCAGACCTGTAATCCCAGTACCTCAGGAGGCTGAGGCAGGAGGATCGCTTGAGCCCAAGAGTTTAAAGCTGAAATAAGCTATGATCACACTACTATACTCCAGCCAGAGTGAGAGAACGAGACCTTAACTAGACCTTGTCTCTACAATAAATAAATTTAAAAATTAGCTGGGTGTAATAAGATAGAAATTTCTTATCTTCTTCAAAAAATAGGGCAAAATATTCTGGCTTGAAATTTCTACTCCAAAAAGACATCTCATAGGTTGAATTAAAATAATATTTTGCCGAGACGAGAGGATTGCCTGAGCTCAGGGGTTCGAGACCAGCCTGAGCAACTTGGCGAGACATCGTCTCTACAATAAATCAAAAAATAAACTGGGTGTGGTTATGCACGCCTGTAGCTCCAACTACTTGGAAGGCTGAGGCAGAGGAATCACCTGAGCCCAGCAGGTCGAGGCTGCGGTAGCCATGAGCGTACCACTGTCCTCCAGCCTGAGCGACAGAGTAAGACTCTGACTCAAAACCAAACCAAAAAAAAATGTAGCCATCCTTTTATGTCCTTAACTTACGTAAAATCTCGAATCCTCTCCCACATTTTGCATAACTAGAAAGGAGGAATGACTCATTCAGTTTTAATTTTCCAAGTCAAATCCTTCTTTAGATTGAACAAAGGTAAAAGGACTAAAAAAATAATGTTCTGCATTCTCGATTTATTTTTCAGTTTCAGAAAGGCAGAGCTATGTCACTCCAAAGTACAGAAAAAATTTTGATATTCTAGCAAAAATAAATTCTCTCTCTAAAAACAGAGTCCGCTTCACACCTAACACTTTCCCTAGCTCTTCATCTCTCTAATTAAACTATAAAGCAGCCAGGCACCGTGGCTCACACCTATAATCCCAGCACTTTGGGAGGCCCAGGTGAGAGGACTGCCTGAGCTCACAGGTTTGAGACTAACATGGGCAACTTGGCAAGACCTCATTTCTACAATAAAAAAATTAGCCAGGTGTGGTGGTGCATGCCTGTAGTTCCATCTACTTGGAAGGCTGAGGTAGAAATATCACCTGAGCTCAGCAGGTTGAGGTTGCAGTGGCCGTGAGCGTGCCATTGCACTCCAGCCTGGGTGACAGAGTGAGACTCCAACTCAAAAAAAAAAAAACAACTATAAAGCATCTTCTGCGACTGGACCTAAGCAAAGAATTAGAGCAGCATATGCTGAGTGGTCAGAAGCTGAAGTTTTCATTGACATCTCTTTCAAACACTAGCCCTATTTAATCATCTTGCTCTCAAGATACCACTGATTCAGATGCCATAGTTCCAAAGAGCAATGAATGTTTTAACAACGTGGCAAGAAAGAAGCACACATGAAAGTTATTTAACTGGTTAGCCTGATCAATGTCCCCCCTCCCTGTTAACTCTTCAGTGAAAGAAAATTCAGTAAGAAGGAAATCTACCTACCTGAGTCCTCTTGGTATCACTAGGCAGAAGCAAACTGCCTGTATTTACATTAAATGTACGGGTCCTAGTTTTCACTAGTTCATTTGTTTCCCGATACAGCCTCACTGGAGGAGGCTTGTGAGCCTTTTGGACCATATTATAAATGCCCACAGTGAGCGCTATATCACTGTTGAGCTTAAGCTTTAACCTGCAGGAGGGAAAAATGAAACAGCATCAACTGTACTTTCCTATCTAAAATTCTTTCCCAGCACTCAAGCTTTAATTTTATTATTCTCTATAGTAATCCTAAGCAAGCTCTTAGAATTTAAATATCCTGCATTTTAATAATACAATGAAATTTGCTATAATACCATCACAGGTTCTAAGCCACAAAAAATAGTTTCAGAATACATTAACAAATTATAATAATGATAAAGAATGTACTATAGGTTGTGTATTCTTCTGTGAAATACTTAGAACCAGAAGTGTTTCGGGTTTCAGATTTTTTTTCAAGATTTTGGAATATTTGCACTATATTGTACTTACCATTTGAGAAGCTCTAATCTGAAACTCTGAAATGTAAAGTGTTCCAGCGAGCATTTTCATTGAGTATCATGCTGGCCCCTCAAAAGTTTTGAATTTTGGAGCATTTCTAATTTCAGATTTTCAGATTAGGGAGCTCAACCTATGTAATAAAATTGACAGTTTTTATTGAGCCCAGCACTATACTAATCACTTTACAGGTATTCTCTCACTTAAAAGTCATACTAACTCTATAACACTGTATCGATTATCTGTTTTGTTTCTGCTTTTCTAGTACTCCTTCTTCCTTCTTTTAAGACTCCAATTTTTCTTTGGGAACTCCTTTCCCCCATTACAGTCATGGAAGATGTTAATCAAGTTGCTATGCCCTCCCTTGGCCAAGTGGTGGGTATATCTGACCCAGGAAAAGACCATGAGGAACTCCTCTCCTGGGAGTCTGGGTCTTGAGCAGTGACTAAGAAAGGATATGTTTGGGGAGGATATTTCCTGATAATGGCACCCCCAAAGCCACTGTCATTAGTTCCTGTTATTTCGATTCCTGGAACTACCCCGGTTCCTATTTAGTTTGAATATGCTAAAATTAGCCAAGATCAGTTTTTGTTGTTTGCTATCCAATAATCTGATTATTGACATTTTACAGATGAAAGCACTGAGGCCCAGGGATGTTATATAACTTGTCCAAGGATAGACAACTAATAAAGGCAATGAGTGGTACATGATTTCCTGATAATAATTTCATGGGTTTTCTACTAGAATTGTCAGTAAACTCTGGCCAGGAGTGGTGGCTCATGCTTGTAATTCCAGTACTTTGGGAGGCTGAGGCAGGAGGACCATTTACGGCCAGGAGCTTAAAACCAGTCTGGGCAACACAGCCAAGACCCTCTCTCTACAAAAAATTTTAAAATTAACTGGGCAAGATGGTGCATGCCTGTAGTCCTAGCATTCTAGAGGCTAGAGAAGGATCCCTTGAGCCCAGGAGTTACAGGCTGCAGTGAGATATGATCATGTCACTGTACTCAAGCCTGGGTGACAGAGCAAGACCCTGTCTCTTAAAAAAAGAAAACTCTCAGTAAACTTGAAAACTGCTCAAAATTTACCAAGGGTCATGATCCCTTTACTGAGGAAACTAATCTAAAATGAAGTTTGATGGTCTTTAGGAGGAAACACTGAGAAAGCCTTAGGATTCTACTAACAAGGTTCTCTAAGAAAATCTAGCAATCTGGTTCCTACTGGAGTATATAAGAAATTAGAACAGCACCATTTTAACAATGGTAATAACTAACATAGGTGAATTTTTGCTCCATACAACCCTCTGGTTTATATATACTTTTTTTCAATAATCAATATTTTTTATTATGATGTTGTGGGGTACAGTTAAGGGTTTATATATACTTTTCATGTACTCCCCACAATAACCTAATGAATCAAGTACTATTGTTAACTCCAATTTACACAGGACAAGCAAGCAAACACTATACAAGCATGTGCCACATAACAACATTTTAGTCAACAATGGACTGCATACACAACAGTGGTCCCATAAGATTATAAGGGAACTGAAAAGTTCATGGCTGGGCGTGGTGGCTCACGCCTATAATCCCAGCACTTTGGGAGGCTAAAGTGAGAGGACTGCCTGAGCCCACAGGTTCAAGACCAGCCTGGGCAACTTGGCAAGACCTCATCTCTACAATAAATTAAAAATTAGCCAGGAGTGGTGGTGCGTGCCTGTAGTTTTAGCTACTTGGAAGGCTGAGGTGGAAGGATCACCTGAGCCCAGCAGATTGAGGCTGCGGTGGCCGTGAGCAGCGTGCCACTGCACTCCAGGCTGGGTGACAGAGTGAGGCTTCAACTCAAAAAAGAAAAAAGAAAAAGAAAAATTCCTATTACCAGGTCATACCATAGCCGTCATAATGCTGTATATAACACAACGTTATCACTCAAGTGTTTGTATCTTATTTTCACTGTACCTTTTCGATGTTTAGCCATGTTTAAAAACACAAATACCATTGTGTTATGACTACCTATAGTATTCAGTACAGTAACATGCTGTATAGGTTTATAGCTTAGGAGCAATAAGCTATCCCATATAGCCTAGGTAGGGTATAGTGTGATATACCACCTAGGTGTGTTTAAGTGCACTCTAAGATGTTCACATAATGAAGCCACGTAACAATGCATTTCTCAGAACGTATCCCCATTGTTAAGTGATGCATGACTATGAGTGAGTACAGCTAAGGATACTCTTAGACTACAGCTGTTTACCCCAAAGAAATGCAGAGTTGTGTTATTTTGGAGAAACACCATACCAATTCCTGCCAGTGAAAGAAAAGCCAATAGTTTGTGTTATCTTAAAATTAAAGTGTCTTAGAGCAACAAAGTGAGGCAGTGGCACAGCCCAGAGTTAAGTAGCCAAGGAGGTCAAAGCAATGCTTTGCTTATGATTTGTTAATGAACATGTGGGCAGCTGACCCAGATTCACTGCATACCTGTAGAGTACACGCTTCCTGGTCTCCTTGGCACGAACCTTCCTCAACAGGTCTTCTAGCTTACTCGATTCCTCAAAATGAACCCCAAGGTCCTCATCCTCTGCTATGCTGATGATATCTCTGTAGAACAAGGATATGTCAAAGCCACCCTCTTTCTTCAGGTGCATCAAGTCAAGGAAGATACCTGGTGCAAGGATAAACAACAGAGGGGGAAGAAACAATTTTCAGCAAGTTTTTCCAGTTAAACTCAAATACACTTTTTTTTTTTTTTAAGAATTATTTTTATTACTATTTTTTTTTTGAGACAGGGTCTCATTTGGTCACCCAGGCTGGAGTGCAGTGGCATAACCTGGATCACCACAGCCTTAACCTACTGGGTTCTCCTCCCACCTCAGCTGGCCAAGTAGCCAGGACTATAGGCACATGGCACCACATGCAGCGAATTTTCTTTTCTTTTCTTTTTTTTTTATTTGAGTCAGAGTCTCACTCTGTCGCCCAGACTGGAGTGCAGTGGCCACTCCCAGCTACTGCAGCCTCGACCTGCTAGGCTCCGGCGATCTTTCTGCCTCAGCCTTTCAAGTAGCTGGAACTACAGGCGTCCGCTACCACACCTGGCTAATTTTTTGATTTATTGTAGAGATGAGGTCTCACCAAGTTGCCCAGGCGGGTCTCGAACCTGCAGGCTCAGGGAATCCACTCACCTCAGCCTCCCAAAGGCGCGGGATTACAGGCTGAGCCACCGAGCCCGGCTGCAGCTAATTTTCAAATATGCTTTTTGTGTGTATGTAAGATTTATTGTAGAGACGAGGTCTTACTTAGTTGCCCAGGCTGGTCTCACACCCCTGGGTTCAGACAATCCTCTAGCTTCGGCCTCCCAAAATGCTGGAATTACAGGCTGAACCACTGTGCATGGCCTCAAATATGCTTTTAAAATCCCCCCAGCTGGGGAGCCTCACGCCCATAATCCCAGCACTCTGGGAGGCCGAGGTGAGAATTGCCTGAGCCCAGGGGTTCGAGACCAGCCTGGACAACTTGGCAAGACCTCATCTCTACAACAAATAAAAAATTTAGCTGAGCATGGTGTCACGTGCCTGTAATTCCAGTTACTTGGAAGACTGAGGCAGAAGCATCGCCTGAGCCCAGCAGGTCAAGGCTGCAGTGGCAGGGAGCATGCCAGTGCCCTCCGCACCTGGATGACAGAGTAAGATTCCAACTCAAAACAACAACAACAACAAAACCCAGGTGCGATGGCTCATACCCATAATCTCAACATTTTGGGAGGCAGAGGTAAGAGGACTGCCTGAGCCTAGGGGTTCAAGACCAGCCCAGACAAGTTGGTGAGACCTTGTCTCTACAATTAAAAAAATAAGCCAGGCATGGTGGTGCACACCTGTAGTTGTAGTTGGCCTATAGTTCCAGCTACTTGGAAGACTGAGGCTACTTGGATTGCCTGAGCCCAGCAGGTTGAGACTGTGGTAGCTGTGAGTATGCCATTACACTCCAGCCTGGGCGACAGAGTGACACTAAAACTAAAAGCTGCTGGGTGCAGTGGCTTATATCTGTAATCCCAGCACTTTGGGGGCCGAGGCAGGAGAATTGCTTGAGCCCATGAGTTCAAGATCACCCTGGGCAACATAGCAAGAACTTCTCTGTATAAAAACATTTAAAAAAATTAACCAGGTGTAGTGGGGTGTGCCTGTAGTCCCAGTACTCGGAAAGCTGGGTGTGGAAGGACTGCCTGAGTTCAGGAGGTTGAGGCTGTGGTGAGCTAGGATTGCGCCACTGTACTCCGGCCTGGGCAACAGAGTGAGATCCCTGACTCAAACAAACAAACAAACAAACAAACAAAAAAACTCCCAAAAAGCTAGACTGATTATTAGCATTTTCAGAACTTAGAGAAAGTGGCTTAGAGAAATCAGTTTCTATAACGATTTCAGACTATTTATTCAAACTAACCACCTTTCATGGTAACATTAAAGTCAAGACAATCTTGTTCCGGTAGTCTTTTCGGCTGCTAATGGCACAGCTATTTGCAATGTTGATGTTGCACAGGTGTCTCCCCCCTTGGCATCACTTTATTTTTTCATTTTACTCTGAATGGTGAAAAGTAAATGCTTAACATTAACTTAAAAAGAAAGCAATTAAGCCGGGCTTGGTGGCTCAGCCTGTAATCCCATGCCTTTGGGAGGCTGAGGTGAGTGGATTGCTTGAGCCCACGGGTTCGAGACCCGCCTGGGCAGGCGAGACCTCATCTCTACAATAAATCAAAAAATCAGCCGGGCATGGTAGCACGCGCCTATAATTCCGGCTACTCGGAAGGCTGAGGCGGAAAGATCGCCGGAGCCCAGCAGGCGAGGCCGCGGTGGCCGGGAGCAGCCACTGCACTTCAGTCTGGGCGACCGAGTGAGACTCCAACTCAAAAAAAAAAAAGAAAGCAATTAAGCCGGGCTTGGTGGCTCAGCCTGTAATCCCACGCCTTTGGGAGGCTGAGGTGAGTGAGTGGATTGCCTGAGCCCGTGGGTTCGAGACCCGCCTGGGCAACTTGGCGAGACCTCATCTCTACAATAAATCAAAATGAGCCAGGCATGGTAGAGTGCGTCTGTAGTTCCAGCGACTTGGAAGGCTGAGGTGGAAGGATCGCCAGAGCCCAGCAGGTCGAGGCTGCGGTGGCCGGGAGCAGCCACTGCACTCCAGTCTGGGTGACAGAGTGAGACTCCAACTCAAAAAAAAGAAAAAAAAAAAAGAAAGCAATTGAAACTGTGCCAGGTACACTGTAGTCATAGTTACACAAGAGGTTAAGGCAGGAGGATCCCTTGACTCCAGAAGTTCAAGGTTGTAGTGCACTGACTGCACTTGTGAATAGCCACTGCATTCCAGCCTGGGCAACATACAACGAATCCAACTTTTCTCCTCCCCCCACAAAAAAAATTAATTGCCAATTTAAAAGGACAGGGAAAACGCCTACCTGTATCTCGGAGATCACCAGCTTTGGTCCTGGCCCGGCTGGCCCTGGCACTGTCATTGCCATGGGGGTTGTCTTCATTGGTGAACAGCATGATCCTCTTATGACTCATCTTAAACTGGACATCACTAAAGAGGTTGGCGCAGACCCACAGAACTTCACTCAGTGAGTAGTCAGATCCATGGCCCATCAGGTCTTGGAAATGTTTTTTTCCCTGCTGCCCCTTAAACTGGTCAAGCTCTAGAATTCTTTTAGCACCTGAACAGAGGCAGGAAGGGAGTCAAATGGGCAAAAAAAATCAGAAGAGTGTGTGCCTTTACCACAAGACTAAATAGAAGGACCAGTGTTCCTCTTCACCCCAGGGCTGTTTAACCCATATATCCAAAGTCCACATCCCAGCAAGTACTCCTTATGCAGGAAGGCATACTTATAGACAGATGTAACCTGCTTCCTTCTCCACAGCCCTCTTTGTTCAGGGCACTGACATTCTCATGTGTACTGGAAAAAAAAATCTTAGAGTATTACTGACCTGGATTATCTAACTCCTGTAAGACGTAAATATTTTTAAAATTCACTGAATTTTTGTCTTTCTCGGTACCATAGAACACCACTGCCAAGAGATCTCGATCACTGCTTACGATCTTACTGATATACACGCTTTGGATACACTGAAAAAGTAAAAATGCAATTAATATTTATTTACCATTAAACTTATGTTCTATAAGTAACTGACATATAATAGGGGCTCAATCTATATCTGCTGAATTTGTACATAGCACTAAAGTAAGATATGACCCCTACATTCAGGTGCAATGAATCAGTATGAGTGATAGGCATTAAGTATGAAGTCATAACAAAAAGCAGAATGTAGTAAGTGTATAATAGAACAGACTGTGAGCTGTGCAAGGAAAAATTAAAAAATTAAAAAATAAACAACGCACATTCTCAGGGAGAAAATTGTGCTACAGGGGGAAAAAAGGAACAGCACTGGAATCAGAAAACCTGGATTTGAGTCCCACTGATGTCTCTTACTTAACTGGCTGAGTTTGACAGGTCATTTGATCTTTCCTCCAGTATCCTAATACCAAGAAACAGAGCTTACATATACATATAGCCTTCCATATCTATGGCTTCCTCATCTGGGGATTCAACCAACCATGGATTGAAAATATTCAGGAATTTGGGACCTGCCTGGGCAACTTGGCAAGACCTCATCTCTACGATAAATAGAAAAATTAGCCAGGCGTGGTAGTACACGCCTGTAGTTCCAGTTACTTGGAAGGCTGAGGTGGAAGGATCGCCGGAGCCCAGCAGGTAGAAGCTGCGGTGGCCGGGAGCAGCCACTGCACTCCAGTCTGGGCGACAGAGTGAGACTCCAACTCCT